ATCACTAAGGGCAACGATAAAATCTATCAAACCCCATAGTGTTTTTTCTTATTTCCGAGTTTGACATATCTCACGGGTTGAGCAAAAGACGTTTTCCGAGAACTTTTCGGAAAAATAAAACTTGCCTTCCCAGAAACCGCGGAACAAACCGTAGGTTACTCGCGAAATAAACCCTAGGTTACTTGCGAAAAAACTCTAGTTTATTCACGGCAAAACCCTAGTTTGTTCACGGAAAAACTCTAGGTTATTCACGGCAAAACCTGATGTAGCGGATAGGACTAGAGATCCGTTGATTCTGAGAATACCCGGAAAACTAGGATAACACAATGAATCCTATTGATTCTGAGAATACCTAGGATCAAAGTCTTCCTAAATTCGTTGAGATCACCAATGATCTATCGAAAACAAGGAATAAAGAGAAATCTCTTAACTTTTATTAATTAATCATCAACTGAATACAACTCTTAAGCCTAAACGACTATATATAAGAAAACCATAAAACTCAAGAAAACCATAAAACTCTAGAAAACCCTAAAATAATAAAGATAATTATCTAAATAATTATTAAAATAAATGATAAGATATTTGGAAATATTCCAAATATTTATCTGCATCATTCTCTCCGGGTTAGAGAAGATTCGTCCTCGAATCTTGTTCTTCTGAAGATATGTTTTCCCAATTGCTTTATTTGAACGTTGATTCCACCGTTGATACATCTTTGAATTATTCAAGTTAATGAATAAGTCTTCAATATATTTCTCTAGATCCACCGTGTAGTCACAAATCTCATTAATTATTAATGCATTCACCAACGAGTAACCAAGCGATTCCCAATCTTCTAATGCACGTCTAGTGTAATTACTTTCTTCACTTTTGATTGCACTCATAAAATCTCTCACGTATGCTTTTGTGGTCTGGAATGCATCTTTGCTGAAAACAAAATCGAGTGGCTCGGCTATTATCAGGTCTTCATCGTACCAATCATAAATAGCAGGACCAATAACTTCTTTGTAAACAACTACTTCACTTTCCACGAACAGATTTTCCATTGATTCCAGAATCGAATTTTGATTAAGAAACCAAAACGCCAGCTCTGATACCAACTGATGTAGGGGAAGCTTCTAAGGATAAGAATAGTGATCCGTTGATTCTGAGAATACCCGAAAAACTACGTTAACACAAGGATCTTATTTAGTCTAAGAATACCTAAAATCAATGTCTTCTTAAATTCGTCGAGATCACCAATGATCTACTGAAAACAAGGAATAAAAGAGAAATCTCTTAACTTTATTAATCAAATCATAAAATTAATACAAAGTTAAACATAAGCGGCTATATATAAGAAAACCATAAAAATCCTAAAACACTAAAAGTAAATATCCTATTAATAATAAATTAGATAATAATATTAAGAATATTTTCTAAATATTCTCTCTTCATCATTCTCTCCGGGTTTGAGAAGATTTGTTCCTGAATCTTAACCGTGATCTTCAATTGTGATGTGTTGTCCATAAGAACCACAAATCTCTTTTTCCTTAATCTTCCATCGATCATACTTTGCAAATAAAAGAATATAGTTCTTTTCCACAATCACTTTATTCTTCAAATCTTCCGTAACATAACAAACCGCCAATTGAAATTTTGTCGTCATGTGCTCTTTGGTAGAATGAAACAAAACCTCCACTATCTCCATGCTTCTCACGAACTCACTTTCTTTAACATGGTTGAACTGGATTCGTATGTGTATGTCTTTTATAAATACCATGCTTTGACTTTGTTTCAAAGCCACGTCCCTTGATAATTGCTCGTTGATGAAGTCCATATTATCTTCTTCGTAGATATCATAAACTGGCTCGCCAATAACTAATCTGTAAACGATTTCTTCACTTTCAGCAAACAAATTTGCCATGATTCCAGAATCGAGTTTTGATTAAGAAATCAAAACACTAGCTCTGATACCAACTGATGTAGCGGATAGGACTAGAGATCCGTTGATTCTGAGAATACCCGGAAAACTAGGATAACACAATGAATCCTATTGATTCTGAGAATACCTAGGATCAAAGTCTTCCTAAATTCGTTGACATCACCAATGATCTACCGAAAACAAGGAATAAAGAGAAATCTCTTAACTTTTATTAATTAATCATCAACTGAATACAACTCTTAAGCCTAAACGACTATATATAAGAAAACCATAAAACTCTAGAAAACCCTAAAATAATAAAGATAATTATCTAAATAATTATTAAAATAAATGATAAGATATTTGGAAATATTCCAAATATTTATCTGCATCAAAACCCTAGTTTGTTCGCGGAAAAACTCTAGGTTATTCACGGCAAAACCCTAGTTTGTTTGCGGAAAAACCTTAAGTTATTCGCGACAAAATCCTAGGTTGTTCGCGGAAAAACCCTAGGTTACTCACGGAAAGCACCCTAGGTTTTTCGCGGAACAAACCGTAAGTTACTCGCGAAATAAACCCTAGGATACTCGCGGCTGTTCGCAAAAAAAATCATTAGGTAACTCGCGGAAAAACCGTAGGTTATCCGCGGCAAAACCCTAGCTTTACCTGCGGAGAAAGCCCTAGGTCACTCGCGGAAAAACCCTAGGTTATTCGCGACAAAACCCTAGGTTGTTCGCGGAAGAACTTTAGGCTACTCACAGAATCGGGCAATACTATCCAGCCGAAAAGACGGTGAGTTGG